TTTCCGATCTTTACTTACGTTGAAGTGGGGTTGTATCGTTCTGGTGGCTTTTGCAGGGTCATATCGTATAATGTCAACGCATGCCAAACTTTGATCTTTGTTACCGCATTTTGCTTTCAAATGTCATAAGATCTAAACCCAAAGGTACCTTAAGATATGTTACAGCATTTTATGGCCTTTAGTGTGGCTTGCTTCGTTCTCAAATGTACCCTGACCGGTCAATTCAACACCCGCCTTTACCACTTTGACCTTGAATTGACATCACAGTTGGCATGTGGAAATGAGCGCTTACTGGGGTGTAAAGGCCAAGTGTCTAGCGCGTCGGACTCGCACGTGGACACCCGGGTTCGGAGCCCCGTTGCGCCGTGCCCCGCAGCTGCTAATGTAGCCAATGCAGTCGCTAGCGCTCCTTAACAAGTGCATGACGACGTGCGGCGCGTTCCCTAAAAAAGAATACTGGCGCCTATCCAATTAGGTGTTAGGTGAGCGAAGGTTAAAAACCACACAAGGCCTGTTAGTAATATTTACCAAATTTGCCAACGCTTTCTCCGTGCAAGCGAATGGCGCGCGATACGTCACTCGAGATGAAGGTTATGGGGCTCATAGAATGACCTCAGGTGGCCTTAAATTAAGTTCTGAAAATAAATTGTAACCCGTTTTGATTCGCATCAGCTTTTTCGGAATTGCAAAGCCACACATACTCGAAAAACTTACTTTAGCCTCATTTGACCAGACCAGACAGGTCAATCCTAAGACATACTGCAAAGGTGGTGGATCAAGTAAAGAGCCATTGCCTCACTTTACACTTTTCTCTGATTGAAAACTGGGCGTGGAATCGGCAAGACGTTCATACAAACCCTAATGCTCTGCGGAACACTCATGAAATCGGCGATGGCCATAGTGGGCCATAGCACTCTGTTTGCTGCAGCAAATACTGACTTCATGCTTAACAAAGGGCTTGTGCCACGAATAGTGGACTAGAGACACCGTATGCGACTGGCGGGCGGTCAGCGTATACAAATAAATTTGTTTTCTCGCACCACCGCATCTGTTAGGCTGTGTATTTCTTGTTATCTCACTTTCTTTATATCTTGGTGCAGCTGTTGCGTGACTGATAATTTAAAAGATGCCATACATGACAGCTCCGTAGAATGTTAGCCATGGAATTACATAACAAAGGGTGCTGGTCTAGATAACCATTTAACCTTCCCTCAGGACATGGGTAGAGTAATCTATGTGGAACCTATGTCGTAGAGTAACCTATGTCGCCTATCCCTAGTAACCTATCCCTCAGGACATGGGTAGAGTAACCTATGTCGCCTTTCCTAATGCGGCCGGCTCGTGTACCCAGCGACCCACCAGATATCAGCATCGGCACACGCCTGCCCAAGTACGTCTGGGACATTTCTACTCGTTTTGTACATGTGCATCACAAGTCATCGCAAAGTTCTGGAAATCCGCTTTGTGGTTATTGCTGTGAAGGAACTAAAAAGTCGTGATCTGCGACATTAGACTCGGTATTTACGATTGCACTTCTAAGCTGTGACATCGATTTATTTGAGCTAAACAGAAGCAAAAGTGCCCCCAGTAAGTGAAGGATGATTAAATACTTTTAAGTCATCGCAAAGTCTCAATAATGTCCATTCATTGTTAGGTAAAAGACGGACCAGTACTTCAATGTTTCTGAATGTGTCAGGAGTGATATACAAAAAAAAAACAACAGAATCCGATAGTGCAAGCACTGACATGATCAGCAACAGCAGGCAGCGGTCTTTGCTGAGTCGGCTGCCTTCGCTGCATCATCGGGCTGCGTCCGCGCGATGGTCGGCTGAGACGGCGGAATCCGTGACCCAGCGGCCCGTCCGGCTGTCTGCCGAGCTGCTCCAATATCCAGGCCGCGGCGCGGCCGAATGTCTGCTACCAATATCACGGCACGTCTGGCCTGCTCCGGTGGCACTCGGGGAACGCTGGGATGCGAGCCGGCGACACGGGTGCACCAGCGGCAATACTCAGTGCGTTCACCTGCGGCAATAGCCATGTCACTCGCCTCTGAATGGAGCTCACAGTGGTCGACGGATTGTCGCCGGCATGCATCTACCGAGCGACATGTAAGACTAGATGGGAGACTGTTTCAGGAAGCACGCACAACATCATGTTGGTGCCATAATTGGATCAGTCATCGAAGTACGTAGCTATCACAAACGATTAATCCCGGGTTTCGCCGCCTGCCGCTGCCGTTGTTGCGCCGTGACCACCGACCAGCTTTGCGCGCGGTGTTCGATCCAGCCTCCCATCCACTGACCGTCCGTACCGCTGTCGAATTCTCCACCTACCTCAAAAGCTTGGGACGTGTTCATTCCACGGATTGGACCAACCATGCTCCAGATTTTCTTTTCCAAGGCTTCTCCTTTTCACATGTCCGGCTAGATTTGTAATGGCGGCTGTGAACCGAAAGTTTGGATGTGGCTGACGTTCGTTCGATCGACCACCCGCACCCAGACGCCGTGGAAATAAACCGTCAGTTTGGAATGATTTAAAGCATTCTCTGCCAGCCCCGGCCCGATTGATTTTGACCTTTGTGTCAACAGTAGCTGGCGGCTGCGTTTTCAACACTAGGAAATGTGCGCCAATACTTTTCTCGGCAGGCTGATGCAGCCGATAGAGATGCAGTCTGGAGATGCTATCGACAATGTCTGAATTGGCACCCATCGCCTGAAGCGCTCCCACTCCTCTCTCTCTCTCGTCACGATCTCCGTCTCTCTCTCTCTCTCTGACTCTCTCTCTCCTCATCGGGCTCTCTCTCTCTCTCTTCTCACTCTCCTCTATCTCTCCTCTCTCCTCCATCTCTCTCATCGTCTCATCTCATCTCTCTCCTTCTCCTCGTCTCTCTCTCTCTCTCTCTCTCTCTCTCTCCTCTCCTCTCTCTCCTCTCCCCTCCTCTCTCTTCTCTCCCTCTCTCTCTCCCTCTCCCTCCCCTCTCTCTCTCTCTCTCCACTCTCTCTCTCTCTCTCTCTCCTCCTCCTCTTCTCTCCTCTCTTCTCATCTCTCTCCTCTAATCTCATCTCCTCTTCTCTCTCCCTCTCTCT